ATAGGTTTCCAGTGTCGCTGCGGCGGTCTGTACTGCGCCGTGCATCGTTATTCTGATAAACATAACTGCACATTCGATTACAGAGAGCACGGCGCACAGGAAATCCGACGCAACAATCCGGTTGTCGTTGGCGAGAAGATTCAAAAGATTTGAATTTCGATATTGTGCCAGTAACAGTAACAGTAGCCGTAGAATGATAATAACCAACCTACACATAATAAGAGTACATATATATACATATGCTGCGCTGCGCTATAACAAGAAAAATCAACAACAACCATATAAAACAGCAGAAAGCATTAACACACACACCCCACACACCACACACAACAACAACACAAAAACACACACAGAGAGTAATACTATAAAAATCGATATAAATCGTAATTGTAATGTAATTATAATGTAAACAGCAAAGGCAAGCAACAATAGTACAGAGAAACGATAACCAAATACCCCGCAAAAGTGCAGCAACAACTGGAACAACAATTTCGATGCTCAACAACAACGTTAAGCTAGCAACGTCCAGCAGCAACCTGCAGCAGCAACGAGCAACTAGCTACATGCAACATGCAACAGCAAGCAGCGTTCGGCAGTTAATAACAACACCTTTGTACATCTTGAACCAGACGCATCTCAGCGTTAGCAAGTGCAACAACAATCATCGAGCCGGGAAACAACAACCGCAGCAGCAACATCAACAACAACCAGCACAACCGATTGCCTTGGTCGCCTGCTGAGCTGGGCCGAAAAAACCGTTTTGAAGAAGAAACACCATTCATCGATTAACGTTGAAATATTTTGTTATTCCAAATACAATTTGCAAATTGTTTGTATTTAGCTAAAAACACACCGCCCCACATTTACAACGACAACAAGCACACAACAAAGAACAACAAACCCTTGTTTCATGTTACATACAACGCAACAACAATTTAAGTAAGACGATGTGTGTCATTTGTTTTTGTAATATGTTGGAGTGTATTAAATAAAAACAAAAAAATTAAGTAAATTCAAAATGCTAAGTATGAAAGGAAATTTTAAGAGAAATTTAACAAGCCCAAATTCACATACAAAAAGCAACCAAGCAACCAACTCTTTCTCAATTCTTAATTATCAGCTACTAAATGAAAAAAAAAACAAAAAACAAATATATATTAATTAATTATGTATATGTATTAAAAAAAGAAAAAGCAAAGAAAAAATATGCAAAATTAAGCGTAAAAAAACAAAGCCCTCACCACAAAAAAATGTAAAAAAAACCTGAAGAAAAGAAACCAAGAATAACGCAGTTGTGTAGAGCTCCTTAAAAAAGTTTGCTAAAAATCTAAAAAACCACGACCACGCTAGACACGAGCGAGAGAGAGTATAGCTAGAGAGAGTGAGAGAGAGCGAGAAGGAGCAGCGCGTTTAGTGTAAAGCAACTTGGAGCATAACAACTCCCTATACATAGAAATCTAAATATAATTATAATTAATTAGTGAATCAAAGCAGGCGAATGCAGTGCAAGCGGCGTTTTTTCTTCGTTTTACCTTTTGCCCCTCCTGTCTCCCCTATAACATTAAATTGAATTGATTTTAATTTTCTGATTTTCGATGAATTATATATATATATATGCATAATATTAACTATGTATACATCTATATATGGTAGGATATGTAAATCGTGTGACGCATCTACATATATAGTTTTCTTTGGGTATATGCACATTAAAGCGAAAACAAAATGATAAAAACAACCAGCTAAATACACATATTCTATCTATATACATATAGTGGTAACAAAGCAAATTCAGCAAAAATGGCAAACAAAAAAATGCAAAAAATACAATAAATATATATGGTTCGTCTTTAGATTTGTATTGCTTTAAGCGTTATTTAGTTTTTCTTTGTTTATATTAAAACACACATGCGTACACAACAAACAACAAAACCACTTTTTAATTTTGCTTTCTTCATTCTGTAGTACATAATTTAAATTTTTATTCAAACCAATTACACCTATGCAAATAAATTTAAATCTAGAAATAAATTGTGTTGTTAACCCTACAGAAAAAAAATACAAAAATGAAAAAAAAATCAAAACAAAAATTGTAAGTAAAACTAAACTTACCGATAACAAAGAGGAAACACTGCAATAAATTTTGATTCTACAATTAAAATTCCCACACGACCAAAACAGATCGAATACGCAAATTTTTGGCACACAGAACTGAAAAGAATCGTTTTCGCAGCAGGAGCAAAATAAAAGCCGACACCAAACTCGCCTTTAACCAATCGCCTTCCCATTCTCTAAGATAGAGATTGCAGATCGATTCTATCTAGGGGTGTTTCTTAATTATAGATAACACTTCTGGTTATATGTTGATCTGGGGAATCTCGGGGTCAATGCAGGTCCATAGTTTAGCTGGTTTATAACCAGCTTTGGAGACCTTCCTTGTGCACAAGAGATTCTGGACATGAGTAGAGAAAGCCAATCCAGCAATAGTGAAGTCCAACCACATATAGGGAGTGCTTAGTCAGAACATTTGAACTGTACAAAATCAGAGATGGAAAATGCAAAAAACTAGTAACCAACTTCAATATAATTTTTAATGAAAGACGAAACCTAAATGTACAGAGCCAGAGAGAAAACGGGAGAAATTAGGGATGTGAAAATAAATAACTGCAATTAAACAACAAGAACAGCTAAATGTCATTTTAATTTTAATTTCCCCCCCCACAATAATAAAGGCAACACTCTTTGCATATACGTAAATCATAATTTAATTCATTAAAAACTATAAAATTAATTAGTAAAATTGTATACATACACGAACACACAAAATGAAGGATTTTAAGATATAACGAACAAGTTTACTACAGTTTAAAGGCGTTTTAAAACTGATTTACTAACCTTAAACGGAGGAAAGTTGAAGGAATATAAAATACAGTTCGAATTAATTTAAAACCCATTTCAATATTTTTGCATAGTTGTAGTTTTTATTTACAATTTACAATAATTTACAATGCTTTAGTGTGCTTTTAGTTGAAATTGTGTTTATATGTTTAATACGAAAGAGTAAAGTGAAAAGGCAAATAATAATTATAACTAAGCGTAATAAAATCTTTAATATTATTAACAAACGTTTATTCTAGTAGTTCTTTATTGTATTACCATAATAATTATTATTTTGTTGTGTGCACCTCTTAGTCACTTTTGCGCTTATAAGCTAATCAAACAACACGCAAACAATCACTCCAATGCCAATCCCCATCCCAAGTCCCCGACCTCCGTAACTCCAAACTCTATTTGTGTTAAATCTTTTGCAATTGCTAGCCGAATTTGATCTTTGTTTGACCATTACTTTGGATTTGTAAAGTGTTTTGTTGACGGCGGAGCAGAGACGAAACGAAATTAGTTGATTTAAGCGTATGAATGGGATTAATGAACTTGAATATGAATGCATCCAATATCTAAAACCTTATGCGTATATAAATATTGTACTAATGTGTAATTGTAATTAAAAGCGTCGGATGGAGAATATCTGCAGCCAGATGGGTGGAGAAAACAGTGAACATATATTTAACACACCAACGGTAAAGCTAGAAAATCTAAATAGACATAGATATATATACATAATACCTATACATGAGCCTCAGATCCGGGCATATATAAGAGCAACAACTATTTTAATTAAACTTAAACAAATGCATAAACAAATACAATAAAATAGAAGATACAGCGAGAGCAACCACAAAAAAATTGAAATAAAAGAAAGAAAACAATATTAACTTCAAAATTTATATAGCTAACTGGATAATGTTCAATAAAAAGCGAAAAATATTATTTTTAAATCGATTGCATGTTTTATTTTTTGAGATTTCGTTTGGAATACTTATGCTTTTTAAGTATGTTCTAATTCACTTTTCGAAATCCATTCGGAACCCCAGCCAAGCCAAGGTGCTAAGTAGTTTAGAAACGAGATGAAGTGGGCGTAATGGGTTAACGTAACGCAAAAATGATGAAAGATTTATAATGGCCAACTAAGAATAGATCGAGTGGCTCTGGGATTCGTTTCAAAATGGCTCGTTCGCTCTTCATGCAATAGTTATTAACCTAACTAAAGTCACAGCAAGTGTTCAAAAGTAAAACTCAGTAACTACCTAAACTCAGCAAGTAAATAATAATACATTTTTGTGTGCTTATTTCGTTATGATAATTTTTAAAACAAAACAACACAGTTAATCAATTCATATGAAACAGCAAAAAGGTTTTGATCAGTCGATAAATTAAGCTGCTAAAATCTCCAAAAATAAATTGAAAGCCCAACCGGACGAAGATATGAAAAGCAACAATTACAATATTTGACAGATTCTTCGCGAATGGTATAATAATGAATGCTTAGATCTAAGGCAAATCGAAAGGAAAAAAATATATATATATATACGAGATATAACAGTTAAATGAATGATGCAGCAATGTCGTATAAATAACAGAAACATATATCTTAAGTATAAATGAGTATATATATAGACTATATATACACACATATGTATATCTGATAAATGAGAAAACGCTAAAACTGATAAACTTAAACCTAAGTAAAATTAAAAAGAAAATACAAAACACGGAAAGAAATGGAACTAATAAAGAGAATTATTCTGAGAAATATAAATCAAATGAGTTTTTATTAAGAGATAATATTGATCATAGGGTTTTAACAAACCCAACAAATTTTAAATTATCCACTAATATCTAAGGAACAATAGTATTATTGTTTACTTCAGTTTGGTTGCATTTAGAATCACCTGCTTTCACTTAACACTTAAAAACAGATTTTAATGCTATTTAGAAAGCTAATGAAGGGATCAACAATTGTGCCTATTGCAATCACTGATTGTGCGCAATAAAACATTTTCTAGATAAGATGGGGTCCGGGGATCAAGCAAGGCAGCTGTAAAAAACATATATCTGTGGTTAGGGAACTCCACAGCAAACCCACTCTCAAGATCAGTTCTCCATTGGCTTTCGAGCGTTCGGTCGGCGACGAGTCTAAAAATACTTTAAAACAAGAGAAAAATTTAAAGTGTGACCCACATTGAAGGCTGTAAAAATGTCAACAGTACAGACCGGTGAGTTGGTATGGGTGTGGGAGTACGGGGCGAGATTAAGCTTATCTCAGCTCATCAGACAATGAAATTTTCCGCTGTTTTCGCATCCAGTTCTGGGCCTTATTACCCCCAACCTTTTGGGCCGAACTTTGACCCACGAGCATGTGGCCCTCGATTTCGAGCACTTCTACCGCCCACCGCCACCGGATTTTGAGAGCGAGCTGAAGGCCAAGATCAGCATGTCCACTTTGGGCTATGTGCGGCTTTATCCGTATTCCAGTAAGGAGAATGTCCGGTTCTACGATGGTGAAGCCTTGGAGGCCGCCAAGAAGGATGTGCTGCTCTACAAGAAGCACGGTGGTGGCAGCATTGTGGAGAACAGCAGCTATGGCCTTAAGCGTAACCTGGAGTTCATTGTAGAGCTGGCCAAGAGCACGGGTGTTCACTTTATAGCGGGCACAGGTCACTATATTCATGCCATGCAGGATGCCAGTCACGCCAGCCTAACCGTCGAGCAAATGAGTGATCTCTACTCAAAGGATATCATCACAGGCCTGGATGTCAACGGAAAGATGGTCAAGTGTGGTTTCATTGGCGAGGTGGCCAGTGTATACCCCATTCATGGTAAGTTACTAAAATATTACAAAAATAAAAGATAAACATGTTCTAAAATATTATATCTTCTATTTATCATATCATCAGTGATGATATGCTTGATATCTTAGCTTTTTCCCTTTTGATCTACCCTTTAATGATCTCCTATTTTAGATTTTGAAAAGAGTTCCATTAAGGCGGCCGGCGAGATCCAGGAAGTCCTGGGCTGTGGTGTTTCCATGCATCCGCATCGTGTGACCAAAGCTCCATTTGAGATCATGCGACTTTACTTGGAGGCGGGCGGAAGGGCCGATAAGTGTGTGATGTCCCATTTGGATCGTGAGTTTAATGGATCTGCAAAGATGCCCATATTAAACTTCTCCTTTCCTTAGGTACCATTTTTGACGTCGATGAGCTGCTGGAGTTCGCCAAACTGGGTTGCTACATTCAGTACGATCTATTTGGCACCGAGTGCTCCTTCTATCAGCTAAATACCAGTGTGGACATGATCTCCGATGGCCAACGAATCGACAACCTGATAAAGCTCATCAAAGAGGGTTTGGTGGACAAGCTGCTCATGTCCCACGACATCCACACAAAACATCGATTGGTTGGCTAAAATTAAATCGATTGTAAATCTATTCTATATAAATATCATTATTTTTAGACTTCCTATGGCGGTCATGGCTATCATCACATCCACACCAACATCCTGCCGAGAATGTTTGACCGCGGCGTTACTTTGGAGCAAGTTGAGCAAATGACAGTAACCAATCCGGCCAACTGGTTGGCCTTTGACCCCTAAGCCATGTTGTTATTTTGGTAGCATCTCTTATCATTTTAATTTCCCGCTGATAAGATAATCTTGGTTCTTTTGGCATTAATAAATGGGCGTGACTTATGAATCTTACTTATCACCTTGTTTTTATTACGACCCGAAGAAAAGAAATTGGGGGCTCGTACGACTTTTGTTTAGAAAGATGCAATTCGAAAATTACGAATGAAATATTAGGTCAGCATGAAAACAAATCATTTACAGTCATAACTTTAACATAATAACACTAATACTTAATGTTATAAATAAAGGATTATTAATTAAGTTAAGCAAATAAATGTGCTAAAAAAGTATGTTTATAAAACGTATGGAGTAACAGATTTCAAATAAGAAGTACTTCCATTTTCAAGATCCCAGTTCCTAAATAATGTCCATATATTAAAATATTTCCACTGTGGATTTAGATAAGATCGGCTACTTTCTTATCGGTTTTGACCTGCATTTGATACAGAAACCCTACATCTTAGGGACATTTTTCCTATCGAGATGGAAATAATATTGATGTTGCCAAAAAGAGGGAAAACACGAACAAACGAAACGTTATCGTTGTTATTGTTTTGTTGGCGGCTGCCAGAGCAGCTCTTATCAGTTCGTCGTCAGGCCAGGCCCCATAAAGTGACCAGCCGGCAATTGAAACCCAAAGGTGCCGTATTTACGACCCAATATAGAGTCTCCTCATCCACTCGGCTATATATACCAGTTCCGATTATTGTCGCATTCATCAGTATTCAGCGAGCAGTTATCGGCGGAGGTCCTAGACTGATTTTAAGGTGCAATGTCCCAGGCAGTGAAGACGGAAACGCCCAAGGAACCAAATGGTTTGGCTATCAAGGCTAATGGAACCGCTGTCAATGGAAAGTTGGAGGCCCTCAAGAGACCCAGACACGTTTCTGGAGGCGTTGAGGAAATCGTCGATCCCTTCTGTAACCCAGAGCAGCCGCAACGCATTTCCTTTCACGATGTTACATCGGCTGCCTTCCTCATCCGTGGTGGCGTAGAACGCACTCCTTGTCCGGTAGATATTACTATATCTCAAGATTCGGTACATCCTATAAGAAAAGTTACTTGCAGAAATCCACATCATCGGATCTTTATGGCATGGAGTTGTTTTTAAAAAAAGATTTCCTGCAATACACTGGCAGGTGAGTTGAAAAAAGCAAACTAGTTTATATGAAACAACGATTTAAAAAGTATGATACTATCAAAATTAAGATTTTTAAAGTATTCCACCAAGAAGAAAACTTTATTTCATATAATATAGAGTTCCATTTTGGTTCTTTTTTATGATAGATTTCATAATAGATTTTAAATAGATGTTGTTAAATGATTTGCTGTATATTTCGTTGCTTAGTCATTTAAATTGTAATAGCGAATATAGGTCCAAGGTGCATTTTCAGTTCGGAATTGTTATTGTTTATATTAAAATGATCTTTAATCAATGCGTATATTAGAAATATTGTCTGGGGGTGTGATTTTCCGTACTTTGATAAGAGGCTGTTTCTATTTTTAGTAAGTAGTCAAATTCAACCATCAATCGTTGGAAAAGTACAGATGAAAACGAACTTTAGTTATGTTACGAAAGTTCGACTGTGACTATATTTGTTTGTTGACACTTCGCAGTTTAATTGAGTACAGCGCATTTCTATTATTACGACAAAATTTCGGTGATAAATTTGGCTACACATAAAAGTTGAAGATCCGATAAGATAGGCTTTAATTGGCCGATAAGGTTCGATTGGCTTTAATTAATAGTTGTTGCTAATTGATATTTGATTTCGTGATTGACATGTGACTGATATACCCAATTCACAATTTTGACAGCTTCAAGGAGCGTGGTGCCCGCTATGCGTTGTTATCTTTGACGGAGGAGCAGAAGCGAACCGGAGTGATCAGTGCCTCCTTGGGAAATCACGCCCAGGCATTATGTTATCATGGCTGGAAACTCAATATCCCAGTTACTGTGGTGATGCCCAAGGCAGCTCCTATTATGAAGATCCAGAAGTGCCGGAACTATAAGGCCCGCGTCATTGTCGATGGCAATGATATGGGTGAGGCCAAGTCATTAGCCATGCGAATGTCCAAGGAGGAGGGCCTGCTGTACGTGAATGGCTACGATCATCCGCACATCATGGCCGGCCAGGGAACCATCGGGCTGGAAATACTCGAACAGGTGCCGGAACCGGATGCTGTGGTAGTTCCGGTGGGAGGCGGTGGATTGATTGCCGGAATTGCCACTGCTGTTAAGGCTCTGTCCCCAAAACCAAGATCATTGTAAGTATTTGATTAGTATAGAAGTGCTTTTCCTTTAAAATAATTATTGCATAACATTATGAGCCGATTTCTCAATGTCAGGTTATGGTTTCGTGATGTGTTTCTAGAGAAAGTTAACATGTAGGGAAAACAAAATATAAGTCAGAATGAGGAATGTCATACCTCGTTGAGCTCGTTGTTTAATTTCCAATCGTTTGGCAATTCAACCTGAAAATTTTTAATTTTTGCCATTTTTCGAAAAAAAAAAGTGGTGTGACCCCTACAAAAATTGAGAAAATTGGTAAAAAAATAAATTTTCCAAAAAGTGATGGGGATCGTTAGCATATTTAGCAAGCTGTTCAAAACAGTCGGTCTTTTAGCTGTACGCCTTTATTTGGCTGAACTACGATGGAAAAACCGGAAAAATATGTCGAATTTTTGACAAAAATCTGAATTTTGTACTTTTGACAAAATTTTAACCCTTTTTTCGCCATAAAAATTCAGTTTTTTGGCTGCCATAACAAAAATAAATGTCAGAATGAGGAATGTAACACCTCGCTGAGCTCGTTGTTTAATTTCCAATCGATTGGCAATTCAACATGAAAATTTTTAATTTTTGCCATTTTCGAAAAAAAAGTGATGTAACCCTACAAAAATTGAGAAAATTGGTCAAAAAATAAATTTTCCAAAAAGTGATGAGGATTGCTAGCATATTTAGCAAGCTGTTCAAAACAGTCGATCTTTTAGCTGTACGCCTTGATTTGGCTAAACTACGATGGAAAAACCGAAAAAAAATGTCGGATTTTTGACCAAAATCTGAATTTAGTATTTTTCACCAAAATTGTAACCCTTTTTTCGCCATAAAAATTCAGTTTTTTGGCTGCCATAACAAAAATATAAGTCAGAATGAGGAATGTCACGCCTCGTTGAGCTCGTTGTTTAATTTCCAATCGATTGGCGTTTCAACCTGAAAATTTTTAATTTTTGCCATTTTTTCGAAAAAAAGTGATGTAACCCCTGTTATCACATGATTCAGTGAAAAATTTTGGTATGATAAATCTAAAACCCGAGAAAAGCTTACATGACATTGAAAAATCGACTTTGAAAGGGTTTTACAACTTATGATTTATATTTTTTTAAATCTTTTTCTAACAGGGTGTGGAGTCTGAGAAATGTGCCAGCTTCTCGAGGGCCATGGCCAACAACGGACCCATCCACACACCCATCAAGAATACACTGGCCGACGGTCTGGCTGTCCCCAAAGTTGGTTACAATGCCTATGCCACGGCCGTACCCCTGATAGATCGCATGGTGGTGGTCAAGGAGGAGTGGATCGCAGTGGCTATCCTCCGGCTGGTTGAGGAGGAGAAATGCGTTGTCGAGGGAGCTGGTGGAGCAGGTTAGCTGCATTTTGGCCGGTCAACTTGATGAGCTCAAGGGAAAGAAGTGAGTACTTACATTGTGGGAACATATAAATACCTTTAAAATATTATTATTAAAAATAAAAATCTTCTTTTCTAGGGTTGTGGTGCTGCTCTGTGGAGGAAACATAGACACCACCGTTTTTGGACGTTGCTTGGAGCGGGGCTTGGCCGCCGTGGGTCGTCTGGTGAAGTTCAATGTGGAGGTCAGCGATCGTCCCGGTGGGATCAATGATCTCTGCGCCCTACTCGTCCGCGTGGGAGTTTCCATCAAGGATATTATGCACGAGAGAGCCTGGCTGCGGATGTCTACACGGTGGAGGTGAAGGTCGTGTGCGAAACTGTGGACTGGAGCCATAGTTGGAGCTGAAGAACGAGCTCAAGAAGTTCTACTCCAAAGTTCAATTCTCCGATGTCCCGTGGCCCTTACAAATGATTCGGATTCGTAGAAGACCCACTTTTATACAGTACACATATGATTTATTCACTTCAGCAGCGCAGCAAAACTTAAAGCTTTAACTTAGAGCTTAGTTGTATAAGAGTAAACATAATCGTAGTCGAAGTAGAAATGTAAATTAGGTGTAAATAAATATACATAAAATACAGATCTAGAAACAAATTGACAAACGTAGGGATTGCATAATTTACAAATTATGATTCTCTGTTTAAAACTAAAACACAAACAACTAAACATATATAAATTCATGAGCTTAGGTTACGAAGCAGTTCTTCAAGCAGACACACAATTATCAATTTTTTTTTATATTTTTATCTTTTTTTTTAAGATCTTGCGGTATTTGGCACATAAAGGATTCATTACATATGCTCAGTCAAACAAACACACACAGTACAGTACATATATTGAAATTTACATTTACATGGCTAGAAAATATATATATCTCTATATAAATATGGTTTATGTGGTAAAATGTATAGTATATGCTATCTCATAAATACAGGCAACTCGTTGTTAAGTCCACGGACGTAACGTACTTTAAAAGCGCTGACTAAATCTACGTTGAGTATGCTAAGTGTTCCGGATGCAGCCGCTCTCAGTGGCTGTTGTCCAGGCGCAAGATCAGTGCGTCGACCACATTGTAGATCTCATCGAAATGCGGCCGGGACTCGGCGTCGGCTGCCCAGCACTTGAGCATCAGTCGGTACATCTCCGCAGGCGTGTTTTCTGGAGTTGGCATTCGGTAACCTGGAGAAACAATTATAGATTGATTACTATGAAATGAAAAAGTCGTTTTTCAATAGAAGTACAATTTAAGCTGTCACCCATGTTTGTATTACAATTCCATGCCTAATTTCTTGATAGCAGTACGCCTAAAGATATTAATATTTACCCGTATCGATGCGCTCTCTGGCTCTTGAATTGCTCATGCCCGAGTAGGGTG